AAGTAATGTTTGTGTTGTATCTATAAATATCCCTGCTGGACTGTCAATAGGAGAAGGAAACTTTTGCGTGGAAGCTTGTGTAATTAACAATGCCATCATCTTCATCTTCACTAGAGGCAGTAATATTAACAGACTCATTAGAATCAATGGAATCGTTTTGGTCGTTAGAGTCATCATCATGAAACTGAGGTATGCTATACTCAGTTTAGAAGCAGAGGCTCGTGAGAGTTAATGGGAGACTGTGTAGGCTCCAAGTGAATATTAGATAGGCAAGGTGAGTTACCTTGGGGAAAAATTCCTGTTCAACAGGTTCAGCTACAATAGGGGAGAGTAGGCACCAAATTTCTGGGGCATTGTTATGTTCAGGTGTTGACTTTTCGGGTTTAGAAGAGTTGACAACTGGGTTTGCGAGGGGGGGCGATCCCTGGGCCAGGGATGACTTAGGCCCTTTTTATTAGATGTGAGTATGGTACATACTTCTTGTTATGAGAAGGCTGGGTCATAATGGCCTTCACATTTTCAGGGATAATGATGGGAGTGATCCCATTAGCCTTTAACATATCATTCAAAACACGAGGCAGAGTTGAATATCACCACCAGCTGTGTTTTTGGCCACCAAGTACATTAGTTGTGCTCTCATTATATCCCATCTGTGGATACCTGAGACACATGAGATGCGACTGAACCTTGTTGTTGTGTCTGTTGTAAGTGAGGGTTAGATTGGGGCTCTCCAAGAGGGGCAGAATTCCAAACATTGGAACCATTGGTAGAGACCTGAGGAGTCCCACTTGATCCAGGCAGAGCTGGGAAGGAAGTTTTTGGGGCATGGTTGGCGGTGCCTGGGGAGTGGTCTTCTTAGAAGTGGATAGTTTTTGGGGTCAAGAATTTTCTGCATTTTTCCTTTTTTTTTTTCAGGACAAATAGCAGAAACAGCATGATGTTTTCCATTACAGAGGGACACTTTAGGTGAATTTTTATTGGTACAATCACGATAGGAATGTTGGCCCGAGCAAATGCTACAAATTTTCCCCCCGTTATACTGCATTTGTTGTTGTTATTTACCAAAGGCATAACACTTGAAACATTGTGTCACACTGACAAACGTTCCATAGAAAATTTTGGGCAGATGTGCATCTGGTACTGAAACTTTGAAGCCATTTTGACACACAAGTTTGGCCCCCTCAGGTGTCTCGAGTATTAATTTTAAAGTTACCTTATTGTTGTTGTGATTCGAGAATTTGTGTGCTTCTACAGCCCTAAAGTCAGAATTCTCGGCATTAATGTTATCAACAATTTCATTAACAGTGCTTTGTTTCATAAAACTGTTGATTCTGGCCACAAACACAGTCCTCTGAGCTTGATAGCTGTCAGGTGCAACTGGGATAACACCAGAAGTCTTCAGTTTATCCAAGACATCATGCTTTAGGAGTTGAAGTAACTCTTCTTCCGAAGAGAGGAGAAGTACTGCTCCAGCGTGGGTTTGAAAAACATCCACTGGAGCAACAGTTGAGTTCGAGCAAATACAATTGAGAATGTCTTTTATGGACATTTGATTTCCATTAATATGTAATCTTACACGTATCCTCGCCATGATGCCTGGGAAGGTGCATCTGGCAGAGGAGTTGCTTAACAAAAAGGTATCTTTCCTTAATGTTAGCCTAACATCCTATTTCAGCTGACTTATGAAGGTCAGCTCCTAAGATAGCCTACCCTCGAGTAGTGAGGGGAAAGGGCCCAAGGCAAAGATCGGCTGGATTTTAAAAAACCACACGGGCTACCAGATGGTCAAAATGCCTTGTGTTAACTCGCCAAAGCGAAGTTGCCGAAAAATAAGAAGATAGGACAGTCAGAAGGATAGCAATGTATGTAGTGTGTTAAGTGTGTGGGCCAGTGTTGATGTATGGGTGGGGGGAGGAAGGGGAAGGATGGGGGGATGGGGATGAGAGGGGTGAACAAGCAAGCAAGTCACCGCCTTACCCTCTTGATGGGATGGGGCTCGAAGTGACTGCAAGCAAGTCTCCTCTCAGCTCTGGTGAAGAACTACTCAGGATAACCCAAGTAAATTCTCGAGCAACAGTGTTCAGAGTTGCTCAGCTGAAGAGCGGGAACGACGACGTCTTCTCTCCACGGTGGCTGGGCTGCTTCTCCTGTATATCTTGTCTGTATCTGTATTCTTGTATTTTCTTGTATTTTCTGTGGTTACAATAATATGTTAAACTTTGTATAATAATGGTACTTCTGTGTACCTGTACCTTAACTTACACTACTCACTCTGTACTACTTTCTAATCTGTGGTTACTTCACGTATGGTACATTTTCAAAGATATTCACACTTAGTTCTGTGCATAGTGCTGTATGACCCTTTTGGGTTTAGCTCTTAATTTGATTATATATAATGTTATTACTGTTGAGACTATATATACAGGACACTTGGTATTATTATGAACCCAGTGTAAGAAATCCTGGAGAATTGCAACAGACTACATAGAAATGATGCTGTGAAGGCTTACTCAGCCCTGTAACAACTTCAGACAGTATTACCAAGGCTGGCTCCTCCTCAGGAAAATTAATGAATAGAAAAAGAAATAATAATTCACAAAGATAAACACTTTATTATTTATTAATGCAAAGATAAAACATTGAAACATGAAGGTGTATCCTACTTGAAAGAAAAATGAAAAATGAAATGAAAAAAATGACATTTGAATTCAACACTAATATATACAGTTATACTGGGGTGTCTGGTTGAGGTTGACACCATCTTGTAGAAATTGTAGCCGTTGCTGATGATGGGGGGGGGGTCACAGGTGTTGAGTGACAACCCAACGACTAGTTCTTCACAGAGTCTATAGCCTTGAATAGTCTGTCCAGATGATAGGAACGCAGGTTCTTCACCACTGCAAAGATGAGGGGTAGTTGCCTGCGGTTGACTACAATTAATCAGGTAGGTAGATCAAAAAGTGACGACTCAGGACCTGTTTGCAGTCCGTCTCCTTCAACACGTTTCTTTGGTTGGCAGATGACCCGAGCTGTCATTCCAAGCTAGAAAGAGACAAAGGTTACCCACTGCTTAAGAAATCACTCTCCATGATAAGTACAATATCTAAAAGAAGTGGTGATTATCTAAAAGCATAACATGGAACTTAACACTGAAAGGACTAAGTTTATTATTGGTCAAAAGTGAAGCTTTCAACCAATATATCCACTAGAATAGGAGCAGAGGTTTTTACTTACAGTTGTGCTGGGAGCTGTGAGTCAAGTGATTACTGTTTGGTCCGAGCCCCACACGTCACCTTTCGGGGTGGAGAAAAGAGGGGGGGGAGGGGATAGTGGGAGCTAGACTGACCCTACCTTAACAAGCAGCCGGCAATCAAACTATCATCACCATATACTCGCTCGCTACTCCTATCTGTTGAACTTTTCCCTCACAGATACAATAAACAGTTACCTCCTTAATATCTTATGTGCTTGACTCAACCTGAGTAGAAATTCCATGCACATAAAAAGCTCCAAACAATGGAACTATCAGGTAATTCTAAAAGTTCCCCATCTGCCAATTGCTTAAAAAATATTAAAAAGAAAAAAAGTGAATTTATATAAATTTATGTACAGTGAACATAAATGCCTCACTTCACACCCTGAGGGTCCGGGTTCGATTCCCGGCAAGGTTGGAAACATTGGGTGTGTTTCTTCACACCGGTTGTCCATGTTCACTTGTCAGTAAAATAAGCAAATGGGCATTAGTCAAATGGTGTAGATCACATCTGACCTAATTTATCTGAAATGTTTTGCATAATGAGTGGCTTTCTATATAGTAGTATGTCATTGATGTCAGCTAGGCTTGTATACCTTGTACATGTAATTGTAGAAGGCACTGGACAGGCACCTAAAGTCAGTACCTGACCAAGTGGGCTGTGGTTCGTATGTCAGTTTGTGTGCAGCCAACAGTAACAGTCTGGTTCATCAGACCCTGACCCACCACAAGGCCTGGTCTCAGACCGAGCCGCTGGGGCATTGACCCCCAAAACCGTCTCCAGGTAAACTCCAGGTATTATATGTCTAATGTGACTAGCTTATCCAGATTTCAGTCAGTCTTCATACTCATGCACTTCTTTCAACAAACCAGCTGTATTCCACCAAAGCAGCATGGCCCAAGAGGAAAAACAAAAGTTTCTCCTTTTAAATTTAGTAATATATACAGGAGAAGGGGTTACTAGCCCCTTGCTCCCAGCATTTTAGCCGCCTCTTACGATATGCATGGCTTACGGAGGAAGAATTCTGTTCCACTTTCCCATGGAGATAGAAAATAAACAAGAACTAGTTAGAAAATAGAAGAAAACCCAGAAAGGTGTGTATATACATGTATATGCTTGTACATGCATGTGTTGCGTGAACTAAGTGTAAGTAGAAGTAGCAAGACGTACCTGAAATCTTGCATGTTTGAGACAGAAAAAATGACACACAGCAATCCTACCATTATGTAAAACAATTACAGGCTTCTATTTTACACTCACTTGAGAGGACAGTAGTATCTCCCTGGGAGGTTGCTGTCTACTAACCTACTACCTAGGACTCGTGCACTTATCATCACTAATTCTGTCTCCCAATAATTATAATTACAGTGGAACTCCGGTTTTTGTACGGTCCGAATATTGTACAATTTGGATTTAGAACACTTTTTTGGGCAAAATTTTGGTCCGGATTTCGTACCTCCATCTGGAAATCGTAAGTATTAGACGTGTCCACCCGCCCGAGATGCCGCCACTCTCATGCATGCGCGTCTCAGTCTGGCTCTGTCACTGGTTGAGTGAGCATTCATCCAAAACATTTCGCAATTTTGGGGCTTGTTTATTGATTGCGACTACGAAATAAGCCACCATGGGCAAAAGAAAGTTCCTAATGCCAGCCCTTTGGTAAAGAAGGTGAGAAACACGATAGAATTTAAGAAAGAGATTGTAGAAAAATATGAAAGTGGCGTATGTTTAGCTGAGTTTGCCAGGATGTATGGGAAGTTGAAATCAACAATCTGTTCCATCCTGGCAAAGAAAGTAGAAATCAAGGAAAATGGGTAAATATGCTAATGAAACAAAGATCACAAACAATTGAAGATGTGGAGAAGTTGTTGTTTACCTGGAGAGGGTTTCGGGGGTCAACGCCCCTGCGGCCCGGTCTGAGACCGGGTGTGGATCAATGAAAAACAGTTAGCGGGAGATAGTGTTGTGGAGTTGATCATTTGCAAAAACGCAAGGCAGTTGCATGCAGATCTCGTATTGTTCAGTGACAATAGCTTGTCCCATTTTAGATATGGCCAGTGCAGGAGCTGCAATGGCCACCACCACCACTCATCACATAATGGCATAGTATTTTATTCATTCTAGAGTATATATCATGTTTCTATGTTATTTATTTTGTTTATTATGTCATATTAGATGAATTGTGATAGATAAATAAGCCATAGAGTTTATATTAGCATCATATTGAAGTATTTTGTCCTGCCTCCTGAGAGCAAGAATTCCGTTGGAACAGATTAACCCTTTCAGGGTCCACAGGCCCTCTCAGAGACTTGTTCTCAGGGTCCCCCAAATTTAAAAAAAAATATTTTTTCTTATGAAAAGATAGAGAATCTTTTCCCGATAATAATGACATCAAAAGTATGAAATTTGATGGAAAACTTACGGAATTATGCTCTCGCGAAGTTAGCGGTCTCAACGATGTTTACGCATCAGCAATTTTGCCCACTTTGAGCCTTATTTTCGGTCAATTCCAATGTACTAGTTGACAAAAATCATAACTATTTCACTAGAACTCCATTTTTTTCTATCAAATGAGTACAAGAAACCACCAATTTACCGATTTCAACTATCCAATGCAGTGGTCAGAATTTAGCAATTTTGCCAATTTCACACAAATTTCAGATGCCAATTTCCAAATAGGGTCCAGAATAAACAAGAAAGACATTCCTGGCACTAAAATAACATTTCCTCTGTTCATTAGTCACATCCCCACGCCCCTCTTACATTCTTTTGCTTTCCACTTTGAATTTTTATTCTCACAAAAAAAAATAAGATTTACTGTTATGCAGACTACTGCATTAGTATAGAAATGGTATAAATAATATCGGCGCACTTGTGAAAGAATATTAGACCCACCAGTTGATGTGTATTGGATGCTTAGCATGATTTGTTTACTTTTGAACTTTGGTAAAAATCGAACATTTTTGCTACTTTGAGCTCAATGTCAAGGTACTTTTCATTGTAAAACCAATCAAAATCATCTCAATTTCTGTAATATTTCTTCCATTCTATACAGTGAGACCAGGAAAACTAGAATACAACAATAAATACCATTCGAAAATATAGTGCAAAGTCGCTGTTTTAATCCAAAAACAAGGTCAAAGTTTTTTTTTCTCATTACGCACTGAGTGCTGCAGGTTTTTTTTTTATACTCCGTACACTGACCACATAGACCCATTCTTTCATATCTAGGCCTATCAGCTTTCTCTCACTAGATTTGAAGGCGCTAGAATTTATGCGTACTAGTATGTCATGGACACTGGCGCGTAAGCCATACTAGTATGGCCGAAACCCTGAAAGGGTTAATGGAAGTTCAGTTAATTTAAATGAGGAAAATTCATTTGATATACGAGCAAATTGAGTTACGAACTAGGTCACGGAACAGATTAAACTCATAAGTCGAGGTTCCACTGTATTTTTAAACACATCAGCTATGTCCCAGCAATACAGGGTGACCCCCCCCCCCCCCCAAAAAAAAAAAAAAAAAAAAAAAATTCATTATTACTCACCCCATCACTGTCTTGCCAAAGGTGTGCCAACACTACAGTTCAAAAATTGCAGCATATCTCCACCCCTTCTTTCAAGTGCAGGCACTGTACTTCCCACCTCCAGGACTCTAAGTCTGGCTAACCAGTTTCCCCAAATCCCTTCATACTGATGTACACGTTTCCTCTCCTAAGTGCAGGTTGTTTGTGACCTGTTCCAGCTATGGTATTGTGATTTTGTTCTTCAAATTTTACAGTTAAATTTACTGTACGTACTTGCAAATTAAATATGCTGCAGATTACTTTTGTTTATATCTAAATTATTTAATATATTATAATTGGAAGTAAAGTTTATTAGACACCTAACCTATTATTTTCAGATATGGCTTGATTCTACCCAATAAAAATAAAGGTCCTCCAACCCTTGGCACAAGGAAGCTCAATCCTCTGCTGGACTCTGACGACGAACTTGAGCAAGATGAGGAGACACCTCTTAACTGGGTTGAAGCTTCCCTTAAGGTACCATAGAAATGTTTTTATATCACATCCTCCATATATCTATATTTTCTCGCCATTGTTATGTAACTGACACTATAGTTAAAGAAATACCTCAGTATTTGCTCCATAAGCATAGATATTCCTGTGAGAGAAAGTTTGAGAAGTTTCTTTTATTAGAGAGCTCATCCTTGGCAAAATATATTAATAATGTTGTGTGTCTTAATAAGGTGAAGGGTCATAAAGTAAAACCACCTTACAATATTTGTCCTGTTTCCTGACGAACCTTACCTAACCTAACCTAACCTTACAATGATAATTCACTTCACATAAATTCATTTAGCAACAAAAAAAGACACACCCTTGATACAGCTTATTAATTATTTGGTTATAATAATAATTTTTAAGACAAAAATTCACATTATTATTATTATAATCATGGGGGAGTGCTAAACCTGTAGGGATTATACAACACCTGTAGTGATGGGAGGAGGATGGAAGGTATTGAGGCTCAGTTCAGGGAACTGGAGCAGATTCAATACTTTAGATCAAGAGCCCCTCATCAGCATCAAGGAACCTCCCTTGAGGGGCACAAAAATTCACAGTTTTGTTCCTATGTATATATATTTATGTTATATACTTACATAAATTGCTGGCGATATATATATATATATATATTTTTTTTTTTTTTTTTTTTTTATAACACTAGCTGCCTCCCACTGAGGTAGGGTGACTCATAAAAAAAAAAAGAGAAAACTCATTCACCATCATTCACTGTTTTGCTAAAACCATACTGACATAAAAGTTCAGATGACCCTCCAAACTTAATCCTTTCAGGGTTGGTGCCGTACTAGTACGGCTTGCACGCCAGGGTTGGTGCTGTACTAATATGCATAAATTCTAGCTCCTTCAAATCTAGTGAGAGAAAGCTGGTAGGCCTACATATGAAAGAATGGGTCTATGCGGTCAGTGTGCGCAGTATAAAAAAAAAACCTGCAGCACACAGCGCATAAAGAAAAAAAAGCTCCGACCGTGTTTTTGGTTTAAAACAGTGTTACAAAAAACACGATTTCTAATAATGATAGAGATCTCCAGTGAATACTAGAAAGGACTGACCCTCTAGCATCCAGCCTGTTGCTGGGTTTTTGTAACAAGTAGTCAGTATCCTGGTCCAGTTATCCATTAGAATTTAGTAAGATTCAGTAGTACTTCAGGATTACAATTGGTAGGCTACTAACTAAAGAAATTAAATTTCAATAAGTTTATTGATAACAATAAAGTCGTCTAGGCGTATAATATCAAAGTAAATTAAAGTGATCAATTGAATATAATATAGGATACAAGTTCCTACACTTCTCTCGTGTACAGTAGTATTGTGCTGAAGGCACATATCACATCTTTATGGCTTTTAAGTACCGTCTGGTACATTGTTAACATTTGATAACATAATACAAATATATACAAGTAAGTTTGTGTATGTGTGTAAGTGCTCTAAGTAGTACGCTATGTCTCAAGACTCGACTAGACTTAACCAGTGACTGACTAAAACTCCTCACATAAACTAACTTCTTGACCAACCTGGCAATCAGAACAGCTTGCTTGAACAATAAAATGACTGATAAGCCGAACAGCAATATAACAGGCAACAGCAACACAGAATCAGGAACAAGGAGATAATATAATGACACTAAGTAGGGACCATCTGCAGATCCTCCACAAAAGTCACAAAACTCCCATACTACTGAATCTAAGTTCAGCATTAGAAAATCCCCGACTGTGACAGTACACAGATACCAGTACAAATTAGGTCAGAAGCTACAGCTCAGGACCTGAGTTTCTCACTGTCTATGCGACACACAACCTCAGTACAACGTTGAAAATCACTAAGTCTAAACCATGCTCTGTGAACAGAGTTACATAGAACCAACAACAAGAAAGCAACAGAGACAATCTTCCAACAAGGGCCCACAGGGGAGAGCTGGAGAGAGATGTCTTGTTGGAAGGCATCTCAAACAGACAAGAATGAGCACAGGCCAAGCAGACTCTACTACAGGTGAGGTGTGATCACTCCACCCTGATCATGTGACTCTCCGTGGACAGCTGCTGCCCAGCAACTCAGAGAACCCGGCAGGGAAACAAGCGGAGCGATAAACACAGTAGTTAGACAATGTTGTCAGCTACTTAACACTCACGAACTATGAGCACTGAATAATATATAAATGTTACATCCTGCCTAATAATATAACTAAGTCAGATAATAATATAAAGCAATATATTTATGATTTAGCTAATATCGCAAATACACCTACCATCCGACTTACGACCTGCTCGACTTACGACCACTCGACTTACGACCATGTTTTTTATGCCAAATTTCTGGGAAATAAACAACTATTTGTGTTGTACACAGTGTTTATCCTAAGCCTTACAGTATAAAATACAGTACTAACAACATAAAAAGTAAAGTAAAATATGAAATACCAAAATAAAACAATAAAATAAAGTCATTACAAAAATGTTTTGTTGATATTCAGTAGTAAAGTTCGACTTACGACCGGTTTCTCGGAACCGAACTCGGTCATTAGTCAGATGGTAGGTGTATAAGCAATATAAAATTATATGAACAGGTAATATACATTATATACATTGTGACCCATTCAGGGGTCGCAATAACAGCGTCTTTGCAGTGTATTTTCGTATGCTATTTATGGTTGTATTCTAGTTTTCCAGGTCTCATTTTATAGAATGGAAGATATATTATGGAAATTGAGATGATTTTGATTGGTTTCACATGAAAAGTACCTTGAAATTGAGCTCAAAGTAGCAGAAATGTTGGATTTTTGCCAAAGTTCAAACGTAAACAAATCATGCCACGTGTCCAATACACGACAACTGGTGAGTTTAATATTCCTTCACAAGTGCGCTGATATTATTTATACCATTTCTACATGAATGCAGTAGTCTGCATAACATAAATTTTCTATTTTTTGTGAGAATAAAAATTCAAAGTGGAAAGCAAAATAAATGTAGCAGAGGCCTGCGGACGTGAGAAATCAACAGAGGAAATGTTATTTTAGTGCCAGGAATGTCTGTCTTGTTTGTTCTGGACCATTTTTGGAAATTGGCATCTTTTAAAATTTGTGTGAAATTGGCAAAATTGCCAATTTCTGACCACGTTATTGGTTGAAATCGGTAAATGGGTGGTTTCTTGTACTCATTCGATGGACAAAATGGAGTTCTAGCAAAATAGGTATGATTTTTGTCGACTGGTACATTGGAATTGACCAATAATAGGGCTCAAAGTGGGTGAAATCGCTGATGCGTAACATCGTTGAGACCGCTAACTTCGCGAGAGCATAATTCCGTAAGTTTTCCATCAAATTTCATACTTTTGGTGTCATTATGATCGGGAAAAGATTTTCTATCATTTCACAAGAAAAATAATTATTTTTTTTTTTTCGAAAAATTTCCGACCCTGAGAACAAGTTTAAGAGAGGGCCTGCCAACCCTGAAAGGGTTAAAACGTCATATGTACTTATGTTACACTGGCTTGTAGTCACTACAAACGACTGTGTTATAGTTTTTTCGTGACTCCTTATTTTTTCCAAGCTTTTCTTTTTAATCCGGAGTAAGTACAGTGGACCCCAGGCATACGATGGCATCGGCATACGTTAAATCCGGCATACGATACATTTTAACGCAAAAATTTTGCCTCGCCACATGCGATTCGTCCGGGATGCATCCCACGTGTGTCCTCAGCTGCCCCGTGCGTACCAGTGTTTACAAGCCAGCCAGTGCGGTCGCATCCATGCATACAATCGGTACATTTCATATCACAGCATTTTTAGTGATTATACCTGCAAAATAAGTCACCATGGGCCCCAAGAAAGCTTCTATTAATAAATAACAAAAAGGCACAATACCGTGACTGGAATGATACACAAATAACCCGCACATAAAAGAGAGAAGCTTACAACGACGTTTCGGTCCAACTTGGACCATTGACAAAGTCACACTAACAGAGGTGGAGCAGGACGGCTATATATAGGCAGGAAGAGATGGAGGTAGTAGTAGTAGTAGTACAAGAATTGTATATAATACCGACAAGATGGACTACTACTACTACTACTACTACTACTACTACTACTACTACTACCACCACTACCACCACTACCACCACCACCACTACCTCCACCTCTTCCTGCCTATATATAGCCGTCCTGCTCCACCTCTGTTAGTGTGACTTTGTCAATGGTCCAAGTCGGACCGAAACGTCGTCGTAAGCTTCTCTCTTTTATGTGCGGGTTATTTGTGTAAAGCTTCTATTGCCAACCATGCAGTAAAAAAGGTGAAAATTACTATGGAAATGAAGAAAGAGATAATTGCTAAGTACGAAAGTGGAGTGCGTGTCTCGGAGCTGGCCAGGTTGTATACCAAACCCCAATCAACCATCGCTACTATTGTGGCCAACAAAACAGCAATCAAGGAAGCTGTTCTTGCAAAAGGTGCAAGTTTGTTTTCAAAACAGAGATCACAAGTTCTCAAAGATGTTGAGAGACTGTTATTGGTGTGGATAAACGAAAAACAGATAGCAGGAGATACCATCTCTTAAGCGATCATATGTAAAAAGGGTGGGAAATACATACTATCGTGCCACGGTCAGCTGTTGCTGCACCACGGTCAGCTGTTGCTGCACCAGTCAGCTGTTGCTGAACCACGGTGAGCTGCTGTTGCACCACGGTCAGCCGCTGCTGCACCAGTCAGCTGCTGCTGGACCACCATCAGCTGTTGCTGCACCACAGTCAGCTGTTGCTGCACCACAGCCAGGTGCTGCTGAACCACGGTCAGCTGCTGCTGAACCATGGTCAGCTGCTGCTGCACCAAAGTCAACTGTTGCTGCACCACAGTCAGCTGTTGCTGCACCAGTCAGCTGTTGCCAAACCATGGTGAGCTGCTGTTGCACCACGGTCAGCTGCTGCTACACCACCATAATCTGTTGCTGCACCACGGACAGCTGCTGCTGCACCACGGTCAGCTGTTGCTGCACCACGGTCAGCTGGTCTTAGTGGCATTAAAAGGAGGGAAGTAACCCTGGAAAAGGACATGCTACCTAAAGTCCTAATGGAAGGGGATTCCCCTTCTAAACATTAACAACTTCCACACTTTCCCCTCCTCCCATCCCATCAATCATCACCAGAACTTCAATAAAGGTAAGTGTCAGTTTGTGTGTATTAAAATTAATATTTCATGTAAAAAAATTTTTTTCATACTTTGTGGTGTCTTGCACGGATTAATTTGATTTCCATTATTTCTTATGGGGAAAATTAATTTGCCTTGCGATAATTTCGGCATACGATGAGCTCTTACGAACGGATTAATATCGTATGCCGGGGGTCCACTGTAAACCTCACCCCTGAAAGGGAGTTACTACACATTATATTTCAGCCTGTACCATTATCAAATTTTTCCAACCATAGTCTATCCTCTGGTTAAATTTTTACATAAAATTACATTATGTAGTTCCTGGAATTTTTTTTTAAATACATACATTACTGTATCACTTATGTATTCTACAATTTTGGTTTAATTTCAGAAATCAGCAGGCAATTCTGGACAGCAGAGCTTACAGAAGCGCTTACTACGAGAAGCTCTGGAAGAAGATTCTTCAGTATTCCAATACGATGAAGTGTATGATGAAATGCAAGCTACAAAAACAGCTGAAGTAGCTGCAAGGAAACAGACAGCTGAGAAAAAGGTAACAGTAACAATACAGGTCGGCCATCACTAATCTGCCAATCAGTAATCCGGTTTCATCAGTAATCCATCACTAATTTCAGCTAGCATAATTTTGAATTTCCGGGGTTGCCACGCCAACCTGCCGCTACTGTTTGGTGGCACTACATGCTGCATAAGTCATTCCAATTTCATTTTCTCCATTTATTGTTATAGCCTGCTCACTTTTAGCCCTAGCCATGGTTCCAACGAATAAAAGAAATGCTTTTTGTTGTATAAAGCACATACAATGTATGTTGTCCATAAAAGATCAGGTGGTTTTGAAGCCACTGTTGGTCGCAGTAAACTCCGCTCACTCAGTTAAGTTGTGGCCGGTAAATTTGGGCCTACATATGAATGAATAGGTCTGTGTGGTAAGTGTGCACTATATAAAAAAAATTCTCCAGCACGCAGTGCATAATGAGAAAAAAACTGTGGCCATGTTATTGGTGCAAAACAGGGACTTTGCGGTATATTTTCTTATAGATTTATGGTGTATTCTCGTTTTTTTTTAACTCATTTGATAGAATGGAAGATGTATTACAGAAATAGATATGATATTGATTGGTTTCACAATGGGAAGTACTTTGAAATCGAGTTCAAAGTAGCGGAAATGTTCGATTTTTGTCAATGTTTAGAGTAAACAAATGACATCACCAACCAATACATGTCCAACTGGCTTGTCTCATAAGCAGTCACGAATGGGTTGACATCATTTATGCATTTATTACAATAATGCAGTAGTCTGCATTATTGTAAAACAGCAGGTTAGGTTCCAGGCTACTGCTGTACAGGAGGGCACATAAAAGCCTAATAACATGTTTACACTTATCATTATATTAAGTGACCAATAGAACTAGGCCAAAAAATGCATATACATGTACAGTACACACACTGCTTTCCATAGAATATTTTCATCCTTAGCTTATAGTAAGAGTGGATATACTTGTTGTAGGGAGTCTGAATAAATTAATGGGTATAATTGAAAAGTGCTGCGTTAGTGAAACATCGTAAAGTAGAGCTCTGTAAAGCAGGACACTCCTGTATTGATTTATGGATGGGGATATATATACTTGTAATGCTTTTCAAAGAAATCATCGACACGGTAGAATCAATAAATAGAGAACTGAAAACTTACTTTGTTCTTTTAATATAATATTAAGTCATTTCTTCTTTAGCATTAAAGATGGATTTAATGGACAAAATCCATTGTCCGGGCTATGTCTGGAAACCATGGGCAGAGTTCAGAAAGAACAGTCTCTCATAAGTCCAGAATTGTCTGTTATTGTTACAGTCCACAGAATAAATTGTTTTCCCATTTAATAGTTGTGATGATGGAAAAACAATCTTATCATTTGGATTTAATGGACATTGGGCATTACTAAACACCCCTCCTATTAGCGCATGAAACTTTAGTTTCACTGTTAAAAATCACCTGAACTTGATGTAAATTCCTTCTTTCAACAAACTGGCCATATCCCACTGAAGCAGGGTGACCCAAAAAGAAAAACAAAAGTTTCTCTTTTTAACTTTAGTAATGTATACAGGAGAAATGGTTACTAGCCCATTGCTCCTGGCAATTAATTAATGAGTTCTTTTAAAAATGCTTAAAAACTTATGTTTAAAGACTAAATTTTCATTTCAGCCAAAATATATTCACAACATAATAAAGCACGCAGAGAAGCGCAAACTGGAAGATGAACGTCGCACTGAACGCAAAGTCCAAAAAGAACGGGAGGCAGAGGGAGAAGAATTTGCTGACAAGGAGTCATTTGTCACAGCTTCATATGTCAAGAAGATGGAAGAACTGAAGAAAGCTGAAGCAGAGGCCAAGTTAGAAGAGATGCAAGAAGGTAAATGACAAAACCTGACTAGATGAGGTGTGGAAATAATAGGATATTCCTTTGATATACCTTCGATGAGTTCCCAGATTTTTTTTTTACTCCAGGAACCCGTGCATGGGCCAGGCTTGTCTGGTGCTTACCTGCTCGACCAGATTGTTACTGTTGGTGGATATTGAAGAATGCCATTATTGTCTAATTGCTTGGCTTCATTGTCCCATTTTCCTAGCTTGCTCAGCTGTTGTAACACTTCAAGAGGAAGGCTTGTCTTCATGCCAGTGAAGGGCCCTTAAGGCAAGGAATTTGAGCTACCCTCCCCTTCCTCAGGCCAAACTTAGTTCCCATTCCCCAAGCACTGTATAACCTTTATATTAAAGGCCAAGTGCTTCCTTATGAATATAGTAATTTCCTTATCAGAGGGTCATTGGAAATTTGATATCTGCACAAATCTAACAAGACAGACATTAAATGAGTGATAGTAAACGTTTCCTTCTTAGGATCACCCTGCCTTGGTGGGAGATGGCCAGTGCTAATTTTTTAAAGTGGGTTAATGAATTTCTCAGGGTAGTATTATACAAGAAATATTTTGTGGGTTCATGAGTACAAATAGGAAGCATGTTTGTCTCATGCTCAGATGGAGGACCAAGCTTCCATCACATCTTGTGCTGAATGACTCGTATGGGTTTAGCGCTTAACATGAATTATGTAATTTCTTCAACTTTCGGCTTAATAACAGTCCAGGATGGACTGAAGCAGTATGTTGTTTCACCTCCAGTTTGTAGGATAGCTGTGAAGTGTTCCAGCCATTGTATTGTGACTTTCATTCTTCTTTAGTTAAGCTAATGATTTGAGTCTTCATCTTTACCCTGAAATTCCAGGTTCAAATATTGAATTTTTAGAGTTAAATTTGAGAAAAGCGAAATCCACAAAGCAGAATTTGCCATTGAGTTGTTCATAATGTTCAGTTTTGGCTCACAACATTGTTTCCTCAGTATTATTATTTTTCATTAGGCTCACTCATGCTGGCATGAAAGGAAGCACTCAAACTTACCTGTTGTTGGTACTCTGGATCATTGGTTCCTGAGCCCTGTCCAAGGCCTCCTGGTTGATAGACTGATCAGTTAGGCTATTGGTGCTAGTAGCATGCAATCTAGGGTAAGGACCACAGCCATCTGATCAGAAACTATCTGGAGGAACTTTTCAAAGTCCCTCTTGAAAACACTTTGAGTCTTTTGATGATTTCCCATATATTTGAGGAGAGGATACCTGGAGTATACCTGGAGAGGGTTTCAGGGGTCAACGCCCCAGTGGCCTGGTCTGAGACCAGGCTTCATGAATCAGGGTCTGATATGTCAGGTTGTTACTGCTAGCCACATGCAGACAGACATACAAACCACAGCCCGGCTGGTCAGATACTGACTTTAGGTACCTGTCCAACACCTTCTTGAAGACAGCCAGGGGTCTATTGGTAATCCCCCTTATGTATGCTGGGAGACGGTTGAACAGTCTTGGGTCCCTGACACTTATTGTGTACTCTCAGTGTACTCGTGGCACCCCTGCTTTTCATTGGGGAAACGTTGCATCTCCTGCAGAGCCTTTTGCTTTCATAGGGAGTGTAAATTTAATAACTAAGTAATCTTTTTACAGTGAAGTATGGAACACACAAGCTTCTATCGCTCATTTGTTAATTAGTTTAATGTCTTTATTATGTACCGGTATGTACACCCTGTGGACGGTAGTCAAAACATTACAGAGGCACATAATGGGTCCAGGGACTTGGCTGCAAAGTTTTGATAGCTGAACAAGTTACAGTAGTAATGAACTATTGACATGTTTATATTTGGTTGCAATCATAATGATTTATTTCTGCAGACATGAATTAGGTCACTCACACACACACAGACAAAGAAAAAAATGGTAATGATTTATTTACATTGAACATTTGTTCCAATGCTAGGGTGTTCGGGAGAGGGGTGGGATTAAATTTTGGGGAATCAAATTCAAAATGGGAATTGACACAGTTACTTTTTGCTGATGATACTGTGCTTATGGGAGATTCTAAAGAAAAATTGCAAAGGTTAGTGGATGAGTTTGGGAATGTGTGTAAAGGTAGAAAGTTGAAAGTGAACATAGAAAAGAGTAAGGTGATGAGGGTATCAAATGAGTTAGATAAAGAAAAATTGGATATCAAATTGGGGAGGAGGAGTATGGAATAAGTGAATGTTTTCAGATACTTGGGAGCTGACGTGTCGGCGGATGGATTTATGAAGGATGAGGTTAATCATAGAATTGATGAGGGAAAAAAGGTGAGTGGTGCATTGAGGTATATGTGGAGTCAAAAAACGTTATCTATGGAGGCAAAGAAGGGAATGTATGAAAGTATAGTAGTACCAACACTCTTATATGGGTGTGAAGCTTGGGTGGTAAATGCAGCAGCGAGGAGACGGTTGGAGGCAGTGGAGATGTCCTGTTTAAGGGCAATGTGTGGTATAAATATTATGCAGAAAATTCGGAGTGTGGAAATTAGGAAAAGGTGTGGAGTTAATAAAAGTATTAGTCAGAGGGCAGAAGAGGGGTTGTTGAGGTGGTTTGGTCATTTAGAGAGAATGGATCAAAGTAGAATGACATGGAAAGCATATAAATCTATAGGGGAAGGAAGGCGGGGTAGGGGTCGTCCTTGAAAGGGTTGGAGAGAGGGGGTAAAGGAGGTTTTGTGGGCAAGGGGCTTGGACTTCCCGCAAGCGTGCGTGAGAGTGTTAGATAGGAGTGAATGGAGACGAATGGTACTTGGGACCTGACGATCTGTTGGAGTGTGAGCAGGGTAATATTTAGTGAAGGGATTCAGGGAAACCGGTTATTTTCATATAGTCGGACTCGAGTCCTGGAAATGGGAAGTACAATGCCTGCACTTTAAAGGAGGGGTTTGGGATATTGGCAGTTTGGAGGGATATGTTGTGTATCTTTATATGTGTATGCTTCTAAACTGTTGTATTCTGAGCACCTCTGCAAAAACAGTGATAATGTGCGAGTGTGGTGAAAGTGTTGAATGATGATGAAAGTATTTTCTTTTTGGGGATTTTCTTTCTTTTTTGGGTCACCCTGCCTCGGTGGGAGACGGCCGACTTGTTGAGAAAAAAAAAAAATTTGTACCTCCATCATCAGTGGATGAGTCCACTATGCAATGGTACAGTATAATGAATCTCTACAAAATGTTCAAAATTTCTTGGTCCTACTCTCTGTATTTCTTTTGATTTACTGTATTAGGCATTAAATGAATATATTGAAGTGTATTAGACACTGTAATATTTTTTACCCAGTATAGTGAGACTAATAAATTTAACTTTTTTTTTTTTTCTTTTTTTACAGAAAAAATTGATGTATTGAAGCACAAAAATTTTGGTGCTTTTTATAATCACCTTTTCAAACAAAAGATGGGTGATATTGAAGTTAAAAAGGAACCAGAGAGCGAGGAAGAAGAAAATAACGAAGTTGAAATTATAAAGAGAAGAGACGACATAAAGCGGCAGAAGCACTACCGCACTCAACGAGACTTGAGTGAATCACCAGAAAGACAAGCAAGACGAAGACCAAAGACAACTAAGCAAGAAAAAGTGAGTTCGGCATCTGAGGATGAAGAAAAAGTTGAATCTTATAGAGACAGAAGAAACAAATACAAAACTATGGGAGAGAGAAAAGAAGAGTTGAGAGGAAAAGGGAGAGAGAGAGAAAGAGATAGAGGAAGAGACAAGTATCGCTCTCCAGATAAGAAGAAAGATAGTGATCGATCACGGGAAAGAGAAAGAAGGGACAAATCAAAAGATAGAAAACATGGTAGAGATAGATCCAGAGAACGTGACAAAAACCACAGAGGAAGGGAGAGGTCACGATCAAGAGATAGAAAACATAAACGTAGTAAGTCCAGGAGTCCTCATTCCAGGCGAAGAGGCAGTCGCTCTCATTCACAGAATAGATCCACGAGTCGAGAAAGACGAAATATCAAAGAAGAACCAAAATCTCCCAAACGAAGAGAAAGATCCTCTACCAAGGAGAGCATAAGTGATAAAGACAAAAAAGACAAAACAAATGGTGATAAGGTTTCAAGTGAAAATATTGTAAATGTCAAGAAAGAGAGTGAGCTTGAAGAAAAGGAGAAGAGGCTTGAGAGAATACGTAAATTGTTCACCAAGAGAACTGTTGGAGAAAAATTTGAACATGCTCTCTTACGGTTTTATCAAAGAAAGTCCGAGAGAGAATCACATGGATAGTTTTATAATAGGAATGCCTAGGATAAGTGAATGATGTGAGCAGTACATTGAGTAATTTTGCCAGAATTTCAATAAAATTGTAACTCAGGGAGTACATGTGACAGTTGAGATCAGCCAGAGGGATGAAATTTGTGTGTGCATTTTTTGAAGAACTTTGTAATGTTTGTGATACACGATCATACTTGGTGGTAAAGGTGTTGTAATTAAATCGGAGAAATTTGTAAAGTTTTCATGGCGAGCGATTTTGTTTTTCTGCATATTTTCCCTTCAGGGGGGGGTGCCTTGCTGCTGGTGAAGGGCTCTTGATTTGAGGAATTAGAGATACCCCTCTTCCTCGAATCAAACCTAATTACCTCCCATTCTCCAGGCATTTTGTAACCCTTACAGGTTTAGTGTTTTCCCCTCATACCATTTAATAATCTGAATATTTTCTTATTCCATTCTTAGTTAAACTGTAATGATTCATTAAGCACTGTTCAATATTTGTATTTTTAAGTTGTCACTTCACATTTTCATTGTAATTCTTGGCTTTTTCAGTTGCGAAACACAAGCATGTTGAAACTTTGCATTTCAGAATAAAGAAACAAATGTCAGTGTCTTATATTTTTGATCTACAAAAACTACCCTTATGCACATAGATTGTTCTTCTCAGTCCAGTACAGTATTAATATTAATGTATTTCATAGGCTACAAGTACTTGTGGCTGTTTGGGAGACACACAGATGATGATCAAACCAAACGCAAAGTATATTCTTAATTGTCCAGTTATTGAGGAATATAAAGATAGACAGTATCATAACCTATGTGACATGTCAAAGTATCTTATTAATGAAAATAAGATACAAGATATATTAAGCAAATTTCCCAAATTTGCTTGTAACAGATAAGTGAACTGTAGATATAAATCCAGATGTACTCTTGTTAACCCTTTTGGGGGCTAGTTCCTAGGCTTTATGTGTATCCAAAATCCAGATTTTGGGAGATGTTAAGTGAATGTATAGGAGCCTTTAAACCAAGTGAGAGAGTAATTGTGGTAGGGGACCTGAATGTTAAAGTAGGAGAAACTTTTAGAGAGGGTGTGGTAGGTAAGTTTGGGGTGCCAGGTGTCATATAGAAAGGGGTTTAGTTATAGGTAATACATATTTTAAGAAAAAGAGGATGAATAAGTATACAAGATATGATGTAGGGCGAAATGACAGTAGTTTGTTGGATTATGTATTGGTAGATAAAAGACTGTTGAGTAGACTTCAGGATGTACATGTTTATAGAGGGGCCACAGATATATCAGATCGCTTTCTAGTTGTAGCTACACTGAGAGTAAAAGGTAGATGGGATACAAGGAGAATAGAAGCATCAGGGAAGAGAGAGGTGAAGGTTTATAAACTAAAAGAGGAGGCAGTTAGGATAGATAGGCTAATGAGAGCATAGGCAATGGGGTTGAAGAGGTATGGGGTAGGTTTAAAAATGTAGTGTTAGAGTGTTCAGCAGAAGTTTGTGGTTACAGGAAAGTGGGTGCGGGAGGGAAGAGGAGCGATTGGTGGAATGATGTAAAGAGAGTAGTAAGGGAGAAAAAGTTAGCATATGAGAAGTTTTTACAAAGTAGAAGTGATGCAAGGAGGGAAGAGTATATGGAGAAAAAGAGAGAGGTTAAGAGAGTGGTGAAATAATGTAAAAAGAGAGCAAATGAGAGAGTGGGTGAGATGTTATCAACAAATTTTGTTGAAAATAAGAAAAAGTTTTGGAGTGAGATTAACAAGTTAAGGAAGCCTAGAGAACAAATGGATTTGTCAGTTAAAAATAGGAGAGGAGAGTTAGAGGTATTGGGAAGATGGAGGGAATATTTTGAGGAATTGTTAAATGGTGATGAAGATAGGGAAGCTGTGATTTCGTGTATAGGGCAAGGAGGAATAACATCTTGTAGGAGTGAGGAAGAGCCAGTTGTGAGTGTGGGGGAAGTTCGTGAGGCAGTAGGTAAAATGAAAGGGGGTAAGGCAGCCGGGATTGATGGGATAAAGATAGAAATGTTAAAAGCAGGTGGGGATATAGTTTTGGAGTGGTTGGTGCAATTATTTAATAAATGTATGGAAGAGGGTAAGGTACCTAGGGATTGGCAGAGAGCATGCATAGTTCCTTTGTATAAAGGCAAAGGGGACAAAAGAGTGCAAAAATTATAGGGGGATAAGTCTGTTGAGTATACCTGGTAAAGTGTATGGTAGAGTTATTATTGAAAGAATTAAAAGTAAGACTGAGAATAGGATAGCAGATGAACAAGGAGGCTTTAGGAAAGGTAGGGGGTGTGTGGACCAGGTGTTTACAGTGAAACATATAAGTGAACAGTATTTAGATAAGGCTAAAGAGGTCCTTGTGGCATTTATGGATTTGGAAAAGGCGTATGACAGGGTGGATAGGGGGGCAATGTGGCAGATGTTGCAGGTGTATGGTGTAGGAGGTAGGTTACTGAAAGCAGTGAAGAGTTTTTACGAGGATAGTGAGGCTCAAGTTAGAGTATGTAGGAAAGAGGGAAATTATTTCCCAGTAAAAGTAGGCCTTAGACAAGGATGTGTGATGTCACCGTGGTTGTTTAATATATTTATAGATGGGGTTGTAAGAAAAGTAAATGCGAGGGTCTTGGCAAGAGGCGTGGAGTTAAAAGATAAAAAATCACACATAAAGTGGGAGTTGTCACAGTTGCTCTTTGCTGATGACACTGTGCTTTTGGGAGATTCTGAAGAGAAGTTGCAGAGATTGGTGGATGAATTTGGTAGGGTGTGCAAAAGAAGAAAATTAAAAGTGAATACAGGAAAGAGTAAGGTTATGAGGATAACAAAAAGATTAGGTGATGAACGATTGGAGGGAGAGAGTATGGAGGAGGTGAATGTATTCAGATATTTGGGAGTGGACGTGTCAGCGGATGGGTCTATGAAAGATGAGGTGAATCATAGAATTGATGAGGGGAAAAAGGTGAGTGGTGCACTTAGGAGTCTGTGGAGACAAAGAACTTTGTCCTTGGAGGCAAAGAGGGGAATGTATGAGAGTATAGTTTTACCAACGCTCTTATATGGGTGTGAAGCATGGGTGATGAATGTTGCAGCGAGGAGAAGGCTGGAGGCAGTGGAGATGTCATGTCTGAGGGCAATGTGTGGTGTGAATATAATGCAGAGAATTCGTAGTTTGGAAGTTAGGAGGAGGTGCGGGATTACCAAAACTGTTGTCCAGAGGGCTGAGGAAGGGTTGTTGAGGTGGTTCGGACATGTAGAGAGAATGGAGCGAAACAGAGTGACTTCAAGAGTGTATCAGTCTGTAGTGGAAGGAAGGCGGGGTAGGGGTCGGCCTAGGAAAGGTTGGAGGGAGGGGCTAAAGGAGGTTTTGTGTGCTAGGGGCTTGGACTTCCAGCAGGCATGCGTGAGCGTGTTTGATAGGAGTGAATGGAGACAAATGGTTTTTAATACTTGACGTGCTGCTGGAGTGAGCAAAGTAACATTTATGAAGGGGTTCAGGGAAACCGGCAGGCCGGACTTGAGTCCTGGAGATGGGAAGTACAGTGCCTGCACTCTGAAGGAGGGGTGTTAATGTTGCAGTTTAAAAACTGTAGTGTAAAGCACCCTTCTGGCAAGACAGTGATGGAGTGAATGATGGTGAAAGTTTTTCTTTTTCGGGCCACCCTGCCTTGGTGGGAATCGGCCAGTGTGATAATAAAAAAAAAATATTATTCGAACTGTCAGACACAGCAACATCTTTCGATACTGATGTGGATTTAGTGTTTAGTTATGAATATGATTATAATAATAACTGGAATCTTGATGCAGGGACAGCGCTGTATAGCCCTTGTGGCTTAGTGCTTCTTTTTTATAATAATAATAATAATAATAATAATTGATGCAGGGAATTCTTCGAAGCTTGCCTAACCTATAAGCCCAACCTATTTGCACTGGTGGATTTTCTGCAAATGACTCCACCTACCACCACTCCACCTCTTCTCTCTGCAGTATGTAAGTCCCATCTCTGTGAATATGCTGCACTTTTATCAAGATTGATAGACTGAACACATTGACTCCAGACTGAGGGACTAATTACCTCGCACTCCTCATCTTCCACCATTTCTCTACATTGAACTGAAGAAACCACTGGATGGTGAAACGTTTCCAGAGTAAGGATACCCAAATATTGCACAAGTGAATAATTTATCATCTTGTCTGTTTTCTAAATTATTTATTCAAAATCATTACTCAGCCTTGCCAGTATGGCAAATCTTGTGGTAGTATTAAGTCTTGCTAGTATGGAGTGTAGCGACACAGCTCAATGCCCCCACAGCCTGTTGTGTAGTTTTAAAAATAGGTTAGACAAATGCATGCGTGGGTGTGAATTGGACCTGAGTAAACCATACCACGGGCGGGGATACAACCTGTGATCAGAGAGTCATAAAACTCCTGACTGACATGCCAGCCATTGGGCCAACTGGCCCAGTGGTTTGCACGTCGGTCTGGAGTTTTATGACTGATCGCAAGTTCTATCCCCGCCCGTGGTATGGTTTGTTTGCAATCATGTCATTATGATTTCGTGAATCATGTGGACCTGAGAAGCTTGGACTAGTAAGTCTGTTACAGTGTTCTTTATGTTCTTACTTTTCCTGTGTTGTAGGTCACTACACAGTGTACTGTTTGGTAAATATAGCCTTTTCAATGTTCTTTATATCATTAGGAAACAGGAAGCGAGTAAGGATGGAGAAGGAGTAAGAGAGGGTAAGAAGAAAGGAATAGGAGATAAGGTGAGAGAATAAAAAAAAAGGAGGGATAAGAGTAAAGAGGAAGAGGAGTAAGATGATAAAAAGCAAAGAATCATTCCTCAGCCAAGCAGCAGTTGTGTAGTTTCAACAGCACCATATACCTGGAGAGGGTTTGGGGGTCAATGCCCTTGCGGCCCGGTCTGTAACCAGGCCTCATGGTGGATCAGGGCCTGATCACCCAGGCTGTTACTGTTGGCCGCATGTAAACCAATGTACAAACCACAGCCCAGCTAGTCAGGTACTGAATTTAGGTGCCTGTCCAAAGCCTTCTTGAAGACAGCCAGGGATCTATTGGCAATATCCCTTATGTATGCTGGGAGGCAGTTGAACAGTCTTAGGTCCCTGACACTTACTGTATTGTCTCTTATTGTGCTAGTGGTGCCCCTGTTTTTCATTGGGGGGATGTTGCATCGTCTGCTGAGTCTTTTGCTTTCATATGGAGTGATTTTCATGTGCAAATTTGGTACTAGTCCCTCTAGGATTTTCCAAGTGTATATAATCATATATCTCTCCTGCCTGCATTCCAGGGAGTACAGGTAGAGGAACCTCAAACATTCCCAACAATTTAGGTGTTTTATCGCACTTATGCGTGCCATGAAGGTTCTCTCTACATTTTCTTTGTCAGCAATTTCACCTGCCTTGAAAGGTGCTGTTAGTGTGCAGCAATATTCCAACCTAGATATAACAAGCGACCTGAGGAGTGTCATCATGGGCTTGGGGTCCCTGGTTTTGAAGGTTCTCATTATCCATCCTGTCATTTTTCTAGCAGATGCAACTGTTATAATGTGGTCTTTGAAAGTGAGATCCTCT